AAGAAGTTATATCTCAAATTTGGCGGTGGTTGCTACACAGCAAGGGTATTAAATGGGGATTAGAAATCACTTGATTGATAAAGCAGATCGTTGAAAATTTACAACTCCCTATTGATCTGCGTGACATGTCTTGTGACTGGTATTACGCAATTGTTTTATCAATTGATCGTTCGCGCTCTTATATTGTGATCACGATCTGGTGCTGACTTTTTACGACTCTGAATATTGATCAGCAGTATCTCACGCGTCTCTTTAAAAAATTTTTTACTTGTGCACGCTTTTTTAAGCTTTAACCATGTCTAAAGTGATACATCAATATTTTAATCGGAGGTACTCTGAGTGGAATATTACAGACTTCCTACAGGAATGTGAACTTGAAGACTTGGGTGATAAAATAAGCGTTTACGTTAAATCTCTCGAAATAATAGCTGATGCCAATAAAGGACAAAGGGGCGATAAAGCAAAGGAGTTGCTTGCAAGATATAGAGAGGTGATTGTATTTTTTTTAGTTAAAAATATAGAGAATTTGGTAGCGTGTGCGGGACCTCGAGGGTCTCGTATCATTCAAGCCTCGAGGGCGAGCTACGAAGTTAGTGTTGGGGCGGGGGCAATCTCGAGGATTGTCTTACGTTCAAGGCTCAAGGTCGACCTGACACTAACCCCACTGGGGCGGGGGCAATCTCGAGGATTGTCTTGCGTTCAAGGCTCAAGGTCGACCTGGTGGGATAGAAATAGGAAGTAATTTATAAAATAAAGGATATTGCTAACTTACAATTTTACATGCCAGGGTTCTCGGCCAGATCGTATTCGTGCTCGAAATTGGCAGAAGAATCTTACACCTCGCAGTGAAACTTCAGTTAACTTTTATGGAGACTATTTGAATAACGGAATAACATCAAATGGAAGTGGTGCAACGAATATTTCACATACTAAATGCGGACAAAGACAAAGTTCAAAGGTTGGAGAAAATCAGTATGTTACTGCTGATATAATTTTTTATGGCATAACTATGATTTAACTTTTCATCTCTGTAGGATTTAAATGACAAAAT